GCTGTCTCACCTTCCTATTAATGACTTTTCTAGCACTGATCCTCTAACATATTTACTGTTTGGTTTGTCATCTGTTCCCTCGTTGTCATGTGTACTCTGTCGTGGGAAGGAGTTTTTGACTGCTGTTCACTGATGCATCCCCAGCCTTTGGAGCAATGCTTGACTCTGTAGTAGATGTTCAGTAAATATTTGTTGAATGAATGAGTGAATGATTATATTGTTTTCACATTTGGGTACATGATACTTCATTAGATAATTTGCTATTGATGAACATTTAGGTTGTCAGTTTTCTGTTCTTTTATAAGACAGTGCTATGCTGAATAGTCTTATATAAAAACCTTTGTACTGCTGTATAACGATCTCTAGGATGAATTCTCACAGATGGAGTTGTGAATTTAAAGGATATACTCATTTAAATTTTGAATAGTTAGCTTCTACCTTTCTCTCCTCTAAGAGAAAAGGTTGTATCTGGTTACAATCCTGCTAACAGTGTGTAAAGACACCTGTTTCCTTGCCCTTGCCCACACAAAGTGTAATCAGCCTTTAAGTCTTTGCCAGGCTGATAGATGAAAATGACATCTTAATTTGTATTTCTTTCATTATGAGAAAAGTTGAACACCACTTCATATATTTATCCACCTTTTGTATTTACTTTTCTGCTTATATTTCTTTTTCCACTGTTTGGTTAAGTTGTTTTGCTCGTATGTTTGCCAACACATCTTGGTTTGCTTTGGTGCTTTTCTTTTCTCTAGGTTGCAACCAGATATAACCCCAGAGAACAGTATACACCTGGGCCACTGCTATGCTATACCTAGGAAGTTTCTAGCCCTGGTGTCAGCATCTGCACCGCTTAATCTTGCTCACATTTTTTTATTAGTAAAGCAGTCATAGAAGCACATAGCAGATGTTGGTTATGTGCTAGACACTGTGCTCAGCATTTTATTTTTATCTCTTTTAGTGTCAAAGAAAGCTTATCAGGGAGGACTAGCTTGTCTCCATCTATATAATGTGTGTGTGTGTGTGTGTGTGTGTGTGTGTGTGTGTGTGTATGCATGTGTATAAATTGGCACAGCCTGCACATGTGTCTAAGATCCTAATGAGCTGGAGGGCTGGGGAAAGAGGGTTACAACATGGAGAGACTGTGTTTGTGTTAAGGGTGCTTCCCTCTCCCGTGAGCACATATGTGCTCTCTATCATGAATAAAATAAATAAGCTTAAAAAAAAAAAAGAAAGAAAGAACCCCGAGAGGAAGTGACTTGCCCAAGGTCATAGCTAGTAAATAGCAAAGTCAGGATTTGAAACCAGGCAGCGAGGCTCCAGAGACTGCCTTCTAACCACTAAGGTCTATTGCTTCCAGAGTAGAGATGGGTTATGCGACCCCCTGTCTGCTTTTCTTTTTGGAGAGGTTTTTGCTACAGGGCGCGTGCGCTCGCCAGACAGACAGAGAAACAGAGAGACAGAAAGTGAGAAATCACCCCCCAGGGGGGATGGTCACGCCGCAATCCCTTCTCCTCCATTCTCTTGGGATCTTGGGCATGCACGCACACGTGCCCAGCGTGAGTTTTAAGCTACCAGGTCCAGGACGCGAACCGCGGTCGACTACGTGGGAGTCCAGCGACATAGCCATTACACTAACTGCTGGTCTCCCATACCCCCACCCCCCGTCTGCTTTCAAGAGACCTTTCTGCCCGTTGTCCTCATTCAGAAAATCGGCCATAGTTGTTAAAACAAGGCAAAGGTATTCTTGCACAGTTCTGCGAATTTTATCTTTACTTGCAAACTGGAGTCCAACACATGGTTAAAGTCAAAATAAAAAGGCATATGGTGGAAGATTGTATTCCCATTTTTGTCTTACCCACTCTATTTTCCATGCCTCCTACTGCTATTAGTTTCTTTGTATACTTCTCTGTTTTTTTATGTACTTATAAGCAAAATATAAAATATATATACATATATGATATAACTATGAAATGATCTTCAAAGAGCCCATGGAAAAATATATATTATGGTAAAACTATCCATGGGTTTCAACTTTTTTTCACCAAAATAAACCAGTACTTTAATTCTACTCTCCACAAACTTTTTGAAGTTCCCATAATGTTCCCCTTTTTTCACAAAAAAATAGTGTAATATATTTACATTTTTACACTGTTTTTCATTCAACTTATCCAAAGGTTATAAACCATCAGGTTTTTTGTTTGTTTTTTAGTTTTTGCTGTAGGGTGCATGTGCTTGCCAGAAAGACAGAGAGGGAGAAAGTGAGAAATTACCTCCCAGGGGGATGGCTATGCCACAGTCCCTTCTCTGTTCTCCTCTCGGGATTTTGGGCGCACACACGTATGTGCCTAGCATGTTTCTCAAGCCTCCTGAGTCCAGGACTTAAACCATGCAGTTTACCATGTGGCATCCATCTGTCTTAACTAACATGCCCCCTGCCAAACCCAGATTTTTTTTTGAGAGAGAGATTTTTTGCCATAGGGTGTGTATGTTCACCTGAGAGAGAAACAGAAAGCAAGAATTCCTCCCCCGGGAAGATGGCCACACCATAATTCCTTCTTCTCCATTCTCCTCTCAGGATTTTGGGCAACATGCACACGCTTCCAGCGTAAGTTTTAAGCTGCTGGGTCTGGGACTCAAACCGCAGTCAATTACATGAGAGTCAAGTGATGTAACCACTATGCCATCTGCTGGTTCCCCAATTTTTAAAAAATTTGTCAGAGGGTACTTGCATTCACCAGAGAGACACAGAGCGCGAAAGCAGTCCCCATAGCATGTAGTCACACTGCAACCCCTTCTCCATCTCCCTCCTTCAGGGATTTTGGATGCACATGCTCGTGCACTCAGCATGGTTTTCAAGCTACCAAGTTCAAGACTCGAACCACAGGGTCAACCATGTGGCATTTAGCTGCCTTAACCACCAGGCCACAGGCTGGCCCGGATATTTATTGAATCCTTCTTTATGCAGGGGTCTATGCTGGCTTTAGAGGAGTATTCTGAGGTATGAAACAGGAATCTTTGGCCCCAGGAAGTTTACAGTCTAGTTATGTGATGAGGGCCAAGTGAACATAAAGAGTGGTGTTTATATGACATGGTGCTTTCTTGGCTGATTCAGGCCTCAACACAAAGGTAGTAAATATATACCTTGGTCTTTGGGGCCAAAGTGAGGGATCTCCCAGATTATAAGTCTCTATTATTTTGTTTATTTTCATATCTTCTTAACAACTTTATGGTTTTAACAAATGAGTCTCTACTTGTTTTAAATATATACGTCAAGGAAACTGTTTGATATCTTTTTCATGAAACCCAAGAGTATTAAAACCATTTTGATTTTAGAACTCATCCCTGCCTGGGAGCTTTGTCAAGTTGGATTGAAATGAAATTTTCATATGCCTAATACAGAACAAAAGAAGAAGGCCTTATTGATAGCGGGTTTGTGTTGGTAGAGATTAGCTTTTGTTGATTTTATTTTATTGATTATCATTATTTTATTTTATTTTTAAGTTGACTAGAGAGAGAGGGAAAGTGAGAAAGTAAGCTGCTGGGTCTGAGACTCAAGCCTTGGTCAGCCACGTGGGAGTCCGTTGCCTTAACCACCATGCCACCTGCTGGCCCCAGAGAGCAACTTTTTCCCTAATTCAGGCTTTCTTTTCATTCACTCCTACCCCATAGGCAGAAAGTGGAAGCATTTATCCCATCTGCTATGTAGTATTTTAAGTCCGTGAGCATGCTACCATAAATTTTATTTTGGTTTGGATTTCAGTTTCTGTGTATTACAACTTAGTTCCATTAAAAGACATTTTTGCAAATGACTGTCATGGTGGAATTGTAGCATATCACAAACATTAAAAAAAAAAAAAAAAAGCCTTTGTTTGGACTTCCTCCAGCAGTTCCAGGCATCTAGGAGCCATGCACAGGCAGTGTGCTATAGTCGTTGACAGAGGAGACTTGAGCCAGCCCACTAGGGTTGAGATTCTCTTTTTTTAATTTCACATGTTCTTTAATTTTTTAAAGGATTACTTATTTATTTATGTATGTATTTTTAAAATTTGACCGGAGAGAGACACAGATAAAGAGAGAGGGGAAAATGAGAAAGAAAGCCACCAGGTCTGGGACTTGAGCTGTGGTCGGCCATGTGGGAGTGCCTAGCACCTTAACCATCACACCACCTGCTGGTCCCCTAGGGTTGAATTTCTAAGTCTGCCCCTTTCTTGCTGTGACAAATTACTAGACTTCTATTTGTTTTCAATACCTCCAAGTAGATACCATAAATGTTAGAGATCTGTGAATTAATTCAGTTTATTTTCCCCACTGAGCTATTTTATAGTAAGAACAAGAATTGAAAGAGAAAAATCTAGTATTTTATGTTTATCTTAGCATTTCTCACCAAAGATCATAATGCATTTTACATGTAAGTGCACATATCACATGCATATAACACATGCCCTCTCTAAGCATTCCCATGTTTAGTATGATACAAAAGAACATTCTTTGAAGGAATCTAGAAGAAGATAAAACACAAAGAAAAGGCCAAAGCAAAAGGTCGCACAAAGGCTAAGAGTAGTGATGGAACATGAGTTTCTCTTAGCCTTCGGCTGATGGCTGCCAAAGTGTTGTCTGGAAAATGCTTTGTGATAGAGTCCCTTTCCTCTGAAAGCCTGTCTACATAATAAGAAAAAGGTCTCTTTCTTTGGAGATACATTTACACACGGGATAAGCTCTTGATTGTCCTTTTTTGGTCATCCTTCTCATTGTATGATTCCATGGAATCCAGTGCTTGCTGCTGCATACCTGGCTTGGGAGACGTGAGAAAGACTGTCGCTCTGCACAGGAATAGAGGTGGGAGGGAGTGAATGTAGACTGTCTGGGTGTGCCTATTCTCCTTCGCTGAACTCTGGAAACCCTTCACGGAGTGGCTGCAGAAGGGACGCTTATTACTTCAGGGTCTTCAGGGCATTTGGACATTTCCTTTGCATTCTCATCTTTTTAACCTGTTCCCCTAGGCTCTTTATTGAGAAACTACCCAAACATCGAGATTACAAATTGGCTGACATTCCTGAAAAGAAAGACACAGTAAAGGTGGGTCCTCACTTTCTTTGTTGCCCATCTAAAAGCTTCAAACAGTACAGACTAACTCAAGATAAAAGTAGAAGTCTCAGCTCTTAAAATAAATAAATAAATAAATAAATAAGGTAGAGTTCTGCATCTGAGCATCATTCCTGCAATAGAAGATAGGGCCAGACCATTTTGCCGGAACACTAAGGCAGTAGCAGGTATGGTACAGTAGGGGGGAGATTTTAAATCATTTTTTGGAAACATTGTTGCCCTTGACAACTTATTTTAAATCTTCTTTTTATTGCTCTATGTAGCTAGCCTTGTTCTAATAGTCAGTTTTCTTTTCTGTACCTCAGAAATTAAAGGAGATTGCGTTTCCTAAAGCAGAAGAGCTGAAAGCAGAGCTGTTAAAACGATACACCAAAGAATATACAGAATACAATGAAGAAAAGGTCAGTGTATGACAGCAAAGGAAAGGGGAGGAAATTATTTTGGTTTCTTAGATTGTAGACTGTTATATGATATTTCAGCAGTTCATGTGATCTTCATATGGTATCTCACCTTTTTGGGGCAAAGGTCAGAAACTCAAAAAAGTAGAATACCAGTGATAGGCCAAGGTTTCTAACAGATTTAGCCTACTTGTCCATGATGGTGACTGGAAGGGCAAAATCAATTGCCTATCTGCCATATTTAGAGGGAGAACTTAAGAACAATGTAAGATCTCACCAAAACAGGTTTTTAGACCAAAGAACTTAGAGGAATGATTCATATTTGGTTGTTTCTGAAGCTGTTTCTAACAATTGATTTCTCAAGCTGTTTTCAAGTGATTCATGTCAGGAAGAGTTAAAGGATGTGGAGAAACTCCCAGGACACTGCCAGTGGTCTTGTGTCTGGCATCAATACATATTGCAAGCACTTGCATGTTATTGTGTAGCTATCTGCTAGGCTCTCTTTAGATTCTGATGTTGAAAATCAGTAGGGGTTCTGAGACATGATTCTTTTTTTTTTTTCTAAGTTTATTTCTTCCATGAGAGAGAGAGAAGAAGAGAGGCACTTCCAACAGGGTCTTCATGATGCAGCCCACCCCCAGCCTTACCTGGCCTAGATCACGGGCATGCACACATACTTTGTAGGGAAGACCCAGGACACTAACAGAAGACCTTTCCCATGTGGGTCAAGTTGCTTTACCATTGCGCCCCACTGCACCACCACCTCCCTACAGGTGTACATTTCTTTTTTTTTAAAAAGAATTATTTATTCAACTTTTAATTTATTTGTTTATTTTAATTTGACCAGAGATAGACACAGAGAGAGAGAGAGAGAGAGAGAGGGAAAGTGAGAAAGCAAACCACCAGATCTGGGACGTGAACCATGGTCAGCCATATGGGCATATCCAGCGCTTTAACCACCATGCCACCTGCTGGCCCTGACAGATGTATATTTCTAAGGTACCAAGTAATTAAAAATAACCTCCCTCAAAGAGGTGGCATGGAGGGTAAGGTGCTGGATCCCACATAACCAACTACACAATTCAAGTCCTATACTCAGCAGCTTGAAAAATAACATTAAGAACATATGTGTGCATGCCCAAAATCCTGAGAGGAGAGTGGAAAAGGCACTGAAGCATGGCCATCCACCTAGGGAAGTGATTTCTCACTTTTCCTGTCTCTCTGGTGTATACGCATGCCCTGTAGCAAAACTTTTTTAAAAGGGGGGGGGGCTACTATGTATTGAATGGATCACCAGAAACATTTTAGAGGCTTTATTTAGGGTTAAAATTCTGTAGAAGGGCCAGCAGATGATATGGTGGTTAAGGTGCTTGACTCCCACTTGGCCAGCTGCAGTTTGCGTCCTGGACCTGGTGGCTTGCTTTCTCACTTTCTTTCTCTCTCTTTCTGGTGAGCACACATGCCCTATAGCAAGCTTTAAAAAAGTGATCATAATAAATAAAAGAAATAATAATAAAAAGTGTTCAGTAGAAACCCCCAACATAGCATGTATAAGTTTGGATTTGGTTCAGTTTTGTAGCTTTACTTGGGATACAGAATATATACATGGTGTGGTTAGAGAATAAACCCTTCGTGATGCCAGATATGGGGTACAGACAGTGAGCTTCATCACGATCTCAGTACAGAAAAGCATGCACTGGGTGGAGTCCCTGGGGAAGGGACTGAGAGGATTTGGGCTTTAACCAGCCTTGAACACAGGGATATGGCGGTAAGATAGAAAGGAGTGGTGACTCTTCCAGAGGTGTAGAGGTGCCAGGAAAGCAGAAATTATGTGTTGGGAAATCAGGTTGGAGGAGAAGTACATTTCAGAAATCTCCCTCTTGAAAAACCTTGTTCTCCTGAGATGTGACATCAACCTGAGGCATAAAGTGTTTCTCTAAATCCTTTTTCTTCTTCATAGAAGAAAGAGGCAGAGGAATTTGCCCGGAACATGGCCATCCAGCAAGAGCTGGAGAAGGAAAGACAGAGGGTGGCACAACAGAAACAGCAACAATTGGAACAGGAGCAGTTCCATGCCTTTGAGGAGATGATCCGGAACCAGGAGCTAGAGAAAGAACGACTGAAAATTGTACAGGAGTTTGGGAAGGTGGACCCTGGCCTGGGCGGCCCGCTGGTACCTGACTTGGAAAAGCCCTCCTCAGACGTGTTCCCCACCTCACCTGTCTCAGCCACACAGCCTTCAGACTGTAACACGACTCCGAGGCCGGCTAAGCCCCCTGTGGTGGACAGGTCTTTGAAACCTGGAGCACTGAGCAACTCAGAAAGTAGTGAGTCTATTCACTGGTGCCCTCTTCCATCTCAGTTGCAGCCAAACAGAGCAGCAGTCCATGGAACTGAGCCTGAGCATACCTCTGTGATCCTGCGTATTAGGCCTTGGTCACAGAAACCCAGTCAGTAATCGTATCCGTACTGTGTCCTATCACACTGGCTAAGTCATAAATGGGGACTTTGCTTAAACCATACAGTTTACTTGGAGACAAGGTCAATTTTCTTTTTTTAAAGAATTATTTAATTAAATTAATTAATTGATTATTATTTTTTTAGTTTGACCAGAGAGAGAAAGAGAGAGAGCAAGGCTCTAGGTCAAGGACTCAAACTATAGCCTCGTACTGTGTCCTATCACACTGGCTAAGTCATAAATGGGGACTTTGCTTAAACCATACAGTTTACTTGGAGACAAGGTCAATTTTCTTTTTTTAAAGAATTATTTAATTAAATTAATTAATTGATTATTATTTTTTTAGTTTGACCAGAGAGAGAAAGAGAGAGAGCAAGGCTCTAGGTCAAGGACTCAAACTATAGCCTGCCATATGGGAGTCCAGTACCTCAACCACCATACCACCTGCTGAAGAGCTAATACTGTCCTCAGCTTATTTATTTATTTATTGGTTTTGGCCATAAGGTTTAAATATATATATATATATATAAACATATGACTATTATATTACATAAATACTGGAGGGAGATAGAGAGAAACAGTGAGAGAGAAAGGGAGAAATCAGATTCAGGGGAGAAGCCATGTTGCAGTCTCTTCATTCAGCTCTTGGGATTTTGAGCACACACACACACATGTACCTGGCATGATATTCAGGCCTCAAGGTCTAAAACTAGAACTGCAGTTGGCCATGTGGAAGTCTAACACCTTAACCACCATGTCACTTGCTGGCCCCACTTTCGTCAACTTTTTAATTAATTAATTAATTTATTTATTTATTTATTTTTAGAGGTTTTTTGCTATAGGGTGCCTGTGCTCACCAGAGAGACAGAAAGAGACAGAGACAGAAAGAGACAGAGACAGGGACCAGCAGTTAGCGTAATGGCTATGTTGCTGGATTCCCATGTAGTCGACTGCGGTTCGAGTCCCTGACCCGGTGTTTT